ATAATTTGAAGATCATGATGTACATGTTTTAAAAAATTATGATCTTTTTGTATGTTGGGTTGGCTTACGATAATTTAAAGATCGTGATGCACATGTTTTAAAAAATTATGATGTAGATAATAGTTAGCATTAAACTATCCCATCTACAACAATAAGAAGTAAGAACTCTATAGGTGCTGGTGTTTACCTTTGCCAAACTCCACCACATTTCTTCAACAGCTTCTTTCTCTTCCTTTCTCCATGTTTCTAAATGCGAGATTTGATATCAACTGGGTAGCCTGTTGTGAATTGTCTGAGATTTGGTATGAACTAGTTTTGCCGTTATTTAAAAAGTGACATTTAACGAGTTTGAAATTTAAATTTTAACTTTAATAATTTTTTTTCATCTCCGTATTATAGCTTCTATACACAAAAAAAAATTTGAAAAAGGAATAATAAAATAACAGGAATGAATTTCTTAGAGAAAGAGGGAAAAAAATAGAGAAAAAAATTTAATAATGTAAACGAGTTAAATATGTACAAACAAATATATATTTATATTTTATTCATTTACTTTTAGAGTTTTTGATATTAATTTGTGTTCGCTAAAAAAAAAATTATATATTTTATTTAAATTTGATTTGTTTAAATAATAAAATATTTAAAATTAATTTATGTTCGATTCATTTAAATTAAACGAATTTATTCATAAGTTTTAAAAAAACATGTGCTCCAATATGTATAAATAAACATATTCATTAATAATAAATAAGTATATTCATAAACAATAAATAAATTATAATCAATCATATAATAAAATTAAGATAATACATAAACATGTAATATTATTATTATTATTATCGAACAATAAATGAACATTGACGATCTATAAAATGAAAGAGTTTTATACCGGGGTCGGATCATGTTTTGAATCTCGTTGAAATTCAGAGGCAGTTATAGGAATTGCAGAGGCTTCAAATTCGGGATCAAGAACAGCTTGCAATGTAAGGGAAAAGATTGAAGACCCTGTTGCTTCTCTGCCATATGCAGCGGAATGCTACGCCCACAAGTTACCTGAAAAAGTTCCTCCAATGACTGTACCGATAACTTTACAATACATGTGTCGTTAGAGTTGGATTCAGGCGGGATAAACAAATTTCCACCGGAGGTTTCCCCTCAACCGTGACGACAATCCCAGGCCCACCGCCGCAGTTGGAACGTCCTCTTTATAATACCAGCGCAAGTATAGGCTCCTGCCTCCATCTACCACGCACCTCCGCCAGTTCCAGCTTCCGCACCTCCATCAGTAGCAACACAAATGGTTCGACCGGTAACCGGACAAGCCGGCCAAGGATACTACACCAACTTTCAGAGAATGCCACAAGAAGTCTACCGGGAGCAGCCTGCTTACAACATGATGGCCCAACCTTCGCGGACTCAACACCTGCCGATATCAGCCATGCCGCTGCAACGAGCGAGGGGTAACAGATGTTGCACAATTACACGTGGCAGCATACGATAGGCAGGTTTACTATACCGTGCCGAGGGTGCTATGGTGCCGTCTTAGAACCAAGGCGTTGGCGTGGCGGTTAGTGGTGAAATGCGAGGTGGACAAGGTTCAGTTTAATTAATTATGAAAGAATTTGCCTTTAAAAAAAATATGAAAGAATTTGTGGTGTATTTATTAGTTTTAATTGCTAATTAAGCACTACAACATCAAGCATAATTTTAAAATTTTGGCAGTTATTTTTATTGTTTTTTAATAAAAAAAATTAAAATATGAGATAAAAAAATTATAAATGTTAAAATTTAAAATTTTAATTTATTAGATATTATTTTTTAAGAGATTAATCATATAAATGAATTATATTAAGTTTCAGATTATTTTTTAAATTTTTTTATGTGTATGTTTATGTTTATACAATTGAATATTATTTTGTTTTGTTTAAAGATTGAATTTATCCTTGGAGGTTTTTTTCCTGAATTTTGATTCAATTAGGGCTAGTTTTTTTTTTTTTTAACCTCAAACGGGGCCTCGAGAAAATGAATTTTCATCCCATTATTAGTCATCATCGAGCGGGCACTTAGAATAAGTTGATAGTTCTAAATGCATCAAAATTCTACAGCTGCGTGGCTGGGTTGTCTTCGTACACTACAACGTCATTTGAAAGTGTAGCGAAAATCAAGATTTAATTTAGTTCATTTTTATAATTATTTTAAAAAATAACATTTAATAAATATAAATTTTTTTTAGTTAAAAAAATATTAAATTCAATTCTCACACTCGTAATCATTTCGACTATACACTCCCTTCTCATTGTTCTAGAGTGCTAAAACATTACCATAACGGGTTTTCACCTTGCTCCACTGCTCGTTGCTGTTTTAACATTCCAATGCAGTAAAAAGGAAAATGTGTGAAGGAGAATTTGGATTTTGTTTTTAAAAGGGAAAAATAATCCTTATTCAAAACTGCTTGGCCTCAAAATTTTTATCAGAACTCTTTCTCCAATTCTCTCGCACCTCGCAAGTTTAAGCAAATTGCAGTTGTTCTCATCTTTTCTTACCCTCCCCACTTCACACCGTCTTCAACACCCTTTTCTTACGGTGAATTGGCGATGGAATGATGCGTGATGGAACTTCCTTTTCCCACTTTGTCATTCGAGATTGATTGACTTTTTTGGTTAAGGAATATATAACTTTTGTCTTGTCTCCTTTGTTTTTGGGCAGTCAGAGTTAGGGAAAGAAGGCAAAGGAATTTGGTTTATGATGACTCTGATGACGAGTTAATGTGTTCTGCTAAAACTGGGACTTTACAAATATCTAACAGATTTGGCTACGCTTTTTCGGACAAGTAATCTTCAAAAATTATTGCAGATTATTGATCGCGGCAATTGTCTGTTGATAATTCAAAATTAATTGAAGAGAATCATTATCCCTTTGTATAAGCATATATGTCTAATCCAAACCTTGAATTCACACCCAAAAACCCCATTATTAAATACAGAAATTCCGCCATCAAAAGTGTCGATATTTTAACACCTTTGAAAACCATTATTTTTTATTATTTTTTTCTTTCTCACTTTGCACTGCTATTATCATTTGACGAATATGAATGGTTAGTTACCCGTTATTTTAATTCATTAAAAAAAAAGAAAACTGATATAGAACGCATGAAAGTCATACTACTTGTATAAATGTAGTGAAGTAAAACTGGCAAATTCCAGTTACAGGTGTTCATTTTCTCAGTGACCAAACACACAACAATCATGTAATAACAAGATGGATTGACCCCACTACCGCTAATTTCTTTGAATTGAAGCGTAAGAGAGAGATTCGAGTGAAAGAAAGTCGTTTTCTTATCCCAAAAATTCCCTTGTATAATTATATAAACCAGACTTGTCCATGTTCGCTGACATTATTTTCGAGATGCCGTGGCGCCAATTTGGGCGGTGTGTTATTTTGGTTTTTGACTCAAAAATATGCCTGCTTGCCAATATTTTTATTATTTTGTCAGATTTAACTATTGGTCCTTGTATTTAAGTAAAATCGAATGATTATTGACAATGATGATATGATATTGATTTGCATGAGGTAATGTGTTCAGAAAAAATTGAAATATAGGAATGATGACAGGACATTTTAGGAAATGTCTAATTTTTTTTAAAGATAATTGTGGTTTGTATCTTTAATATTTTGATTATGAGTTGCATATAATTAAAAAATTAAAAATGTTTCAAGAAAAAATTAAATATATTTTCAAATTACCATCATTTGTAATTTAATTTTGTTTAAATAATAAAAAAATCGAGTAAAAATTAATAAATTCGAATTTAACTCAACTTCACTCACTTTTAAAATTTTATATAATCCAAAAAATTTGAGATTTAAATTTTAGAACGTAAAATTTCCTTTTTCATCCTCAAACTGTAAATATATATATATATATATATACCAAAAAAATATATGTTAAAAAAAGAAAATTAGACAGATCGTTGTTATGACCTAGTAAGACAAGACATGGTGGAATTGAATCTGTAGGCCCATTAGTTAGCTTGGTTAATGCTGAATTTGGGCCAAAAATTGTTAAGGTTTTAAAGTCTATATTGGTCAAGATCGACTTAAAATTGCAAAGAACTGGATGCATTGGTCGGCCCAAAAAATGTATCGACAATTCGGATAATATTCCTTTCTTTCAACATTGGTTTTTGGTCAAAACTAGTTTGTTAAACCAAAAAATTAAAGGTGAGAATTACTCGGAATTGTGAATTAAACAGCTATAATCATTAATCAATCAGTAAAACTAGTAGTATTACTATTTACTAAAAGTAGATGCATTTTGTAATTTTCAGATATTATTATATTATTTTTTGAAGTAGCTAACTTGATTTTTTTTTTTCAATTAATGTGGATAAGTGTGATATCTTTTGACATTTTTAATCAGCAGGTGATGATATAGTGAAAATTCATTTTCACTAATTATACAAAACCTAAGTGTCCACGAATAAGCAAAATGATATGCAAGAATTTAATTTGATTGAAATAATGAAAGAGAAGCATAAAAGGATTCCCTAAGGATAAATACTAAGAAAAAGAAGAAGAATTAAAAAATAAATTGGAATTAGGATAAAGGAAGAAAGGGACATGCAGAAAAAGAAGCAAACAATAAAGCAAGGAAGGAACTACTTGCTTAAGTGATGTGAGCATAATTAAGAGAATGCTTCAATTTTTAATTTTCTTTCTTTTCTTTTCTTCAGGCAAGATTTTTTTAATGTTCATTTTTCTCAGAATCCAAACACTATGACTTGTTAATTAAAAACAAGAGAAAAAAGGTAGTCTAATGTTTTTTTAATCTTTTTACAAAGTTTCAAGCCACCTCATCAGTTAATTCGATTCAAAAGAAAGGCAAGGAAGAAGTAAATTAATATAGGAAAGCATACCAAAATATATCATAAAGAAAGTTCCAACTTAAAATATATATCCTCTCATCATTCAGCTAAACTGTGTGTTTGAGTGAGCCTTGTAACAAGCAGGTGTGCAAGGAATATTGGTTTATCAGCCAAGGGCCTCTCCGAATCTGAACAAATGTTTGAAACCCTCTTCCAGGAAGCTTCGGATGGAAACAAAGTGCAGAACAAAAGTATTGGGCTGCTTTTGGCCACGCCATTGCCGTGTTCTATTCATCAGGAATCAGCCGACCAATAACAGCATTTCATGACTATACTAAAGATTTCAGCTGGTTAATGCTCAAGACAGCATAATCTCATCTTTATTGATGTGAAAGGTCTACGCTTTATTAAGTGGTTTTGCACTTTGCAGCTTGTTTCAGAACTTTCTTTTCCGTTCATCACAATATATTCTCCTTAATCATCCCTTCAACCGTGCTATTCTCTTATTTTTGACATCTTTAAAATGCAAAAGCCTGCCTGCCTGCCTTAATCCCCAACCCACAAATTCTTATACTCCATTCCAATTTCTCTTGTGTTCTACCAATATGACTGACTACAAGTACGGCTATCCCTATCCTCCTCCCGGTATCAAACATTGCATCTCTGAGCTCTTAATTTTCATTTTCTGAGACAACCATTTTGAAAGTTCGATGAATTTATACAGATTTTGGTTAATTTTAACTGTGTATGAAATATTGTGCAGGTGCTTATCAAGGGCCACCTCCAGTAATGGCACCTCCTCAATATTATGCAGCCCCACCACCACCCAGGAGAGAACCTGGTTTTCTTGAGGGAATGTATGTGCTCCGCGGTCTTGTTCTTTTCCTATAGTAACATAAATAAATTATTTTCGACCACATAGCATTAATTTTCATTTAAAATTTTCAAAAATTTTCTGTAGTGTAATCTTGTTGGCCCAGATAGCTAGCCTTTTCCTCAGAAATTTTATGTTTTTTCTTTCTTGTTTATCTCAAACCATATCATTCTTCCAATCCAGAGCTGAAAATCCTGTTGGGAGCTGAAAATCTGAAGGTTGTTCTTTTCTTGCTTGTTATTTGCAGCCTTGCAGCTTTATGTTGTTGCTGTCTCTTGGATGAATGCTGCTGCTGCGACCCCTATGTTTCAAGTATGGACTAGGATCCTACATCAGCTAGAAATTTTTCCAGTTTTCATTACAGTTTGATAATATACTAGTTTGCTGATGGACATTAACAAATCTATATGTACTTTGTATATTTATGCTGTAAAAGATTAAAGCTTTTAACAGGAATTTTTAGCGGGAATCCATAGATTTTGTCATAGAAAAATGTTCACTTTGATTTGTAGATCTGGAAGAAAATTGATACTTGTTCTTACCCGTACTTTTACGGTTCTGAGCGTATGATTTTGCATGTATTTTTTGTGGAGATGGAGCCTGTAGATCATGTAGATTTGTTCTATCAACAAAGCTGTATCCTGTAGATCATGTGGATTGACCCACTGATCATGATAAAAGACAACTATCATTAAAAAAAAAAGTAAATGAAAACAAACATTTGATGACATCTTCATCCCCTAACTCTAGATCCACAAACACATACACACACACACACACCATTCAATCATTAAGCTGTAGAAATGGAACAAAATGGCTTGATTGCATAGCGGTAGGTGGCTCCACGAACATGGATGACCCTAAATCTCTTACAATTGAAGCAAACTGTGATAGGAAGTCCCACATGGGACTGTCCTCTTTATATTATGTCGATATACAAAATAGCTTTATAAATCATTCAACCTTCTGTTTGTTTTCCAAGTCTGGATATAGAGCGAAAGGATTCAAGGGAAACATGTGTTTTATCAACTAATTTCTCATCAGTGTTCTGTCCTCCTATCTACTGGATTTTTTTTCCATATTCAAGTGTTAAAGAATTTAATTTATAGCAATGACTGGGTTTTAGCCTCTGCTCTAAGTCTCCAATGGCAAGGATTGTGATGAGATAAGTCTGAAGTTAAAATATTTTTTTTTGTATTTGTTTCACAAGGTGAGATAGGATGATCTGAAACAACACCTGGATTTGATTTATATGTACTAATTTTGATTCAACTAGCATCTAAATCTATTATTTGCAAAGGTTATTTGCCATCTTTAGAAACAAAAAATAAAATAAAATAAAATAAAATAACCTTACAGTTTAACTTAATCGAACATACAATAGATCTAGATTTCATATCCCAACACTTGCTGTCTCTTCTCCAATTCTCATATTGTGACTTCCTATGAAAAAAAAAAAAAACACCGAAACTTGTATTAAAAACATTTTAAGTATGTGCAAACTTGGAAAATAGAGGTAGGTCCCAAGTCATATCAGCTTCCCAAGATCTTCATAAAACGTCCACCAACCGTTGAACACCAAAAATTGCACAAAGTACCCTACCACTTGAGTTTCACATCAATGAACAAAATGGGGAAGCTGTTGGCAACTACTTATCAGCCAAATGAATTAAGTAGGAATCTTGGGTTAACAGAGAAAAAGGACAAAGGAAAAAAGACATAACCAACGGTCATACAATACAAGTTCATGTAAGAGACTTTCAGGAAAAATACAAGTTCATGTAATTGAATTTTTAACAAAAGATGAATTAATGACATCATGTAATTGAGTTTTTAACAAAAGATGTATGCGTAAGTCATCTTTATAATCACATATATCCTTTGAAAGACTTTCCTATAAAAAATATCAGAGAAGCGTAATAATGAACTTTGTATTTTGTACAAAGATGTTGCAATATGAGGTTAAGAAAAAAGATTGTAATTATTGAAATTTAAAATTTAAATTTATTATATGTTATTTTTAAAAATAATTATATAAATTAATTAAGTTAAATATGAAATTTAGAGTAATAACAAACTTTAAATATTACTCAATGAGATCGTATATACGAAACCAAATTTTAAATGACATATTCAAAAGTAGTTGATAAAACCAAGGATAATTTACCTATATTTTTGTTTTGAAATTGACTTGTCTATTCAAAGAAAGCAGCATAAAAAAGGCGTCCTTTTCTCGTCGCATAACAATGTAAATGGCGCCGCGTGAAGGAACGCTAAAATTATGTAGCAGAAAGAAACACATACACACCTTGTGTTACATTCCCCACACCCACAGCCTAGGAAATAGGTATTGGTTAGATACGATCGTTTATTTGGATCGTGTTTATTTATAAGTCAAAATAAATATAAAATATAAAAATTAAATACATTAAATAAAAAAATATATTTTATTTTATAAATTAATATATAATATTTATAACGTAACATTCATGTATTTATTTTTTTATTGTATTTAAAATTATAAAATTTATTTTTAATTAGTTTAGTCAACAATTTTTAATGATTGTAAAAAATTTGAAATTAAATCTCATCTATATTCAAGAACATAGAAGGTAAAAAAAAAAGGTATCGTAGATTAAACAAAAAAAAAAAGTAAAACCTGTTTTTCTCTCAATATTTGAAATAAGTACATTAAAAAAAAAAAGAAATTAGCAAGATTGGTAAAGTTTTCATGTAAATTTTAAAAGATCTTTTAAAATAATTGAAATTAAAAATAAAAATCAATTTAAGATTCATTGGAATAAGCGATAAAATTAATTTTGATGTAATTGAAAATAATGATAGTAATAAAATTAATTATTATAATGATAAAATTGAATACAGTAATAATGAGATTAAAATTAATAATAAAATATATATTTAAGTACAAACATAACAATGACAATAAAGTAAATGTAGTGACAAAAATAACTATTAAGAATATTAAATTAAAATTTTTGTATAATAAAATTATTAAATTATTAGACATTTTGAAATTAATAAGTAATTAAAATTTATTAAAAATTTTTTATGTATTTATTCCTAAAATTATTTGAAAAATTTATTCATTTATTAATAATTTATGTCTTTATAAAATTTATTATTTTTATGTATTTATTAATTTTAGTTATTTATTTATTAATTAGTTTATTCTATAATTATAAAAAAATTATTTATTATATTAAATTAAACTTTTTATTTAAAAACTATTAAATAAAAATGGAAAAGAAAAAGGCTAAGTAGTATGAACAATTTTGTCCTTAGACTATATTGCTAAGGGTAAAAAATATAAAAAGTACGGGTATAACAAGAAAAGGTGTTGCGGTGAAAGACTGAAAATTTTCATCAGATTTTTTAAGTCCAGTCACAATTAAAGCTGCAACACAATAAAAATATCTTCAATGTGGCATAATCAAATGGTACGTATCATATCGAATAAATTCATAAATTTATTGTTAATCACAATTTTATGAGTTGATATTAATTTTTTTGTTTAAATATAATTAATTATTTAATCGAATCTATTTTTTTAATAAAAAATATTAAGATTGATTTAAGGTCCTTAAAAAATATATTTTAATTTTTAAAATTAAAAAAAAATTCAAAAGTTTAATTATATGCAAAAAAAAATTATAACATTCTTATAATGCTTATCCAAAAGATGATACAAATTTATTTTATATTATCTAAGTCTTAAAAATTTTATCAAATAATTAATTATTAAAAATTATGCTTAAATTATTTTAATATTTTAATAATAATTTAAAAATATTTTTTTATCTCAAAATTATTCAGGTAAACTACTTGTTAGATTTAAATAGATTCTATTATCAAATTCATTTAATTTTTATAAAAAAAATTTTTATTCATGATAAGTGAGATTTAAAATCTTGATATTGAAAACTCTTTTACTAAATTTTTCAATATATTAATAAAATTTTTAAAAAAAAGTTCATCTAGAAATTAACATAAAAATTGCTTTTTATAACTTTTTTGTAATTTCACCATCAAAGATCCAAAATCAATTAAATTATTTTTAAAAATATCTTTTAATATATTGATAAGATTTTTTTTTCAAAAATATCTATGTTGGTAGGATTCATTAAAATTATATTTCTTTTCAAAATATATTATTTTTTAATTTTTTTAAATCAATAAAATTAGTAATATTTTTGTAAAACTTATTTTTAGGCTTTTAAAAATCACAAAACCTTCAAATATATTAGTAATACATTTTTTTAAATTTCAACCTTCTAATATGTTATATTGTTAAGATTTTATTATTTATTTTCTTCAAATTTAATTTTTCTAAAATTATTTGTTTTAATTTTAAAACTCTTTTAATATGTCGTTAAAGTTTTATAATTTATTTGAAAAAACAAACAAAAAATAAATAAAATACCAAGTTGTTTCCAACTCGGCAGTTCACAGAACAGTTCGGCTCCATGGCTCAATTATTCAGAAAGTAAGTACGTTGCTGTCGCGTCTGACAATCCGTAGGCAGATTCACAAATCACAAGCAGGTCAAGCAAAAAAATAAAAAAAAATCCAAACGGCGACATTTTGAGATCCTACAAATAGCTCAGTTTTTTTTTTTTTTTATTATTTCTCTTCCTTCTATCTCTCCTTCTTATTTCCTTCTGAGAACTTCTCTGTTCTTTGCGATTTTTGGCCACCACGACTGGTCATCAAGACGTTGTCGGTAGCTGCACTCCATCGCCTTTCGACCACTGTTGAAGCTCAAAATTCACCAAAAATCTACCCGTAACCTTTTCTTTCACGTAGGGCAGTTAGTTTTCCATATGAACATCTCTAACTATGTAGATTGGGCTTTGAAAGTTGTGGGTTCAACCCCCAAGATCTTTTCCTACGTAACTCCAGTTACCACTACTTTGAGGTATGCTCTTCTCCTTGCTCTTAGCTTTCTCTTCACCGAATTTGAAGACTTAAAACTCATGAAAACTCTCATCTTTTTTTTTTTTTTTGGTTTTTTTGTTTCTGATTTTGCTTTTTCTTCGTTGGACTGTGTTGGTGTGACTTATGCGCTTTTGTTCGGTGAGAAATTAATGGTAGTGGCAGGACTTGGTCTCGGCAGTGGATAGCTATTGTGGTAGGGGCTATGTTGGTGACTGTCTGATTTGGTGGTAACCATTAAGTTTTGTGATTTTTTTTTTTTTTTGAATTTGGGTTTTTCAATTTAGAATTGTTAATTGCTTTCAATCTCAAAAATGACTTTCTTACCAAAAGATTTATCACCAAATATTTATCATTTCAATTTAAAATATGACTTTATCACCATAATAATCTATCAATAAATGAATAAAAATAAATTCATACAACTTGAAAACGAAACTGATTCTAAGGCTCCGATTTGTTTTGCAAAACATAATTTTTGAAAAATAATTTTTTTATTTTTAATGTTTGATTGGTAAAAAATTGATTGATCAACGAAAAATATTTTTTGATCAATAAAAAATGAGATTATTTTTTTTAAAATTGTCTTACGAATTTAAAAAGAGAAATATATTTTTTGAAAAAAAATTGTTTATGAGTAAAATTATTTATCAATACTTTTAAACATAATTTTATTTATAAATAATATTATAGTAATAAATGCTATTATATAAATAAATAATACACTATTAATAAATAATATAAAGAATAATAAATAGTTTTATTTTAAGTTTTTTTTTTATATTAACATAATATTTTAATATTAAATAATATTATTAAAATATAATTATTTTTTAATATTAATCATTTTAATAATAAATAATTTCAATATATT